GAGGCTACCTGGGAGACCGAGCGGGAGATGCAGAGCAGATATCCCCACCTATTTGAGGCTTCAGGTATGTTTCTTGACTCGTTCGAGAACAAACGTTTGTTTAAGAGAGGGAGGATGTAACGACCCGGCTGGTTGTTTCATGAGTTACAGCCCCATTTTCCCCATTTTTGTTTCTTTATATGTTGTTCAGCTACATTCCATCGTATCGTGTTGGTTGGTTCGGGTTTGGAGTAGTTTTGGAGAGATATGAGACACTTAGTCTCTTAAGTTGGTCATTTAGTTGGAAAAGTCAACCGGAAGTTGACTTGTGGGTAAATGATCTCGGAATTGGGTTTTTATGGTTCGTATAGCTTCGTTAGGTGATTTGGGACTTAGGAGCGTGATCGGAATGTATTTTCGAGGTCCGTGGTAGATTTAGGCTTGAATTGGCGAAATTGGAATTTTGGCGTTTTCCGGTTGGTAGTGGAAATCTTGATATCGGGGTTGGATTGGAATTTCGGAAATTGAAGTAGGTTCGTTGTGTCATTTGTGACGTGTGTGTAAAATTTTAGGTCATTCGGATGAGGTTTGATAGGTTTTTGGATCGGTAGCGGAATTCGAAAGTTTTGAAATCCTTAGGCTTGAATCCGAGGCTGATTTGATGTTTCGATGTTGTTTTGAGTGTTCCGAAGGTTGGAATAAGTTTGAATAGTGTTAGGTGACTTGTTGGCATGTTTGGTTGAGATCTCGAGGGCCGAGGGATGGATTTGGATGGTTGGCGGAAGGTTTGGAATTGGAGAGGAGTTGCAGAATTTTTTTGCTTCTGTTGTTTCCGCACCTGCGGATTAGGGATCGCAGGTGCGATGATCGCAGGCGCCTGATGATGGCCGCAGGAGCGGATGGTTAACCGCACCTGCGAGCCTGCAGGTGCGAGGCCTGGGGCGCAGGTGCGGAAATCGGTTCTCTTAAGTGAAAACCGCAGAAGCGGAGAATTTCCGCAGAAGCGGTAGCGCAGGTGCGCTCATGGGACCGCAGGGGCGGAATCCCTGGAGCAGAAACTATAAAAGCTTCCCTTCGCGATTTTCAGCCTTATTTCACCATTTGCGTACGGACTTGGAGCTTTTTGAGAGGATTTGAAGAGGGATTTGAAGAGTAACGATTAGAGGTAAGGTTTATGAACTCAATACTCGATTATATGGAAATTTCTTACTGATTAGACATGAAATTAGTGGGATTTAAAGGTTAAAATTGAGGGATTAGGGCTTGAAATTGGAGAGTTTAAATTGGGGATTTGAGGGGCCATTTGAGGTCCGATTTTGATGTTCTTGGTATGTATAGACTCGTGGGAGGATAAGGATTCTAGTGATGTTATTTTTATCGAATTTCGAGATGTGGGCCCGGGGGTCGGATTTGGTCAATTTCGGGATTTTTGATGTAATATGATTATTTTCGAGTGGGCTTTGTTCCTTTAGTATATATTGATGTCATGATTCTGATTTTGGATAGATTTGGGGAGATTAGAGGCCGAGTCGAGTGGCAAAGGCATCGCAGAGTAGGTTTTCATCCGGTTTGAGGTAAGTAATGATTGTAAATCTAGACTTGAGGGTATGAAACCCCGAAATTTCGTATTGTTTTGATAAATGAGGTGACGCACATGCTAGGTGACGGGTGTGTGGGCGTGCACCGGTAGGGGTTGTGACTTGGTATGTGCCGTAGTAACTGCAGAGTTGCTTATTTTGATAAACTCTATATGATATCTATGTGTTGTACAAATGAATCTGTTAATTTGGTTGAATGCCAAGTTTGGGGCCTTGTGCCGAACTGTTTGAACCCTCAGGTGTATTTTACTACTTTCCTCACACTGTTTGGATTCGAAAGCATATCCTCAGTCATGATTTCTACCAGTTTACTTTTGATTTAGTTTCATTACTCTGTCTTAAAATATTTGAAAGTTGTTTGGACTGAGTTCCCTGATTTTTTTCACTGAAATGCCCGAGTGGCTATGAGGTTGATGACTGAGAGAGGCCGAGGGCCGGATAGTGAGGATTATATATATTTATGGATCGGGCTGCACGCGCGCAGCGATATTTATATGTATATGGATCGGGCTGCACGCCGCAGCGATATGTTGGATCGAGCTGCACGCCGCAGCGATATAGCGCTTGGGCTGTAAGAGCTCCTCCGGAGTCTGCACACCCCCAGTTTCATTACTCTGTCTTAAAATATTTGAAAGTTGTTTGGACTGAGTTCCCTGATTTTTTTCACTGAAATGCCCGAGTGGCTATGAGGTTGATGACTGAGAGAGGCCGAGGGCCGGATAGTGAGGATTATATATATTTATGGATCGGGCTGCACGCGCACAGCGATATTTATATGTATATGGATCGGGCTGCACGCGGCAGCGATATGTTGGATCGAGCTGCACGCCGCAGCGATATAGCGTTTGGGCTGTAGGAGCTCCTCCGGAGTCTGCACACCCCCAGTAAGCGCAGTCGACTATCTATATTTACGGACCGGGCTGCACGCCGTAGCGGTTATTATTATGAGATATCTATTGATCGGGAGTGCTGAGTGTGAGTGCTGATTGATAAGAGTTGAGTCACGAGTGACTGAGAGGCTTCCGAGAGGCTATATATCCATATGAGTGATACTTTGCCCGAGGGGCTTGTTTATGAACTTATTGTTTTCACCCTTCTTTTATGCTGAGCCTCTATTGCAAGGTATTGAACAAATGTTTTAATTAACTTCCATTGAAACTGGAATTTTTACGAGCTGTTTGGAAATTTAACTACAGATTTGACTTTGATATTTCTATTGAGATTCTATGTTAGATTATGTATATGCTTTAAATGCTCGTCACTACACTTAGCCTTTATTTACTTTGGTTACTTACTGAGTTGGCGTACTCACATTACTCCCTGCACCTTGTGTGCAGATTCAGGTGCCAGAGCATCAGAGTGAGAGCTTCGGCAACTTCTGAGTATTTCTGGAGATAGCAAGGTAGTTGCACGGCGTTCACAACCCTGTCTTTCTCCTTCCTATCCTTAGTGTTATTTGTTTCAGTCTTTTCTTGTATTGAGTAGACAGTACTGGACAGTATCTTAGTGGCTCATAACTAGTGACACCAGGATCGGGCAGTGTGGATATATTTGCGTATTTGTTTTCTTCCGCGTATTTTGTTATATTAAATGCAAGACTTGTGTTCATAACTGATTTGGAAACGAATTTATAAAAGACCTTTATGTTATTTGTGTTGATTCGGCTTGCCTAGTACTGTGATAGGCGCCAACCCGACCGGGGTGGTTTGGGGTCGTGACAATAAGGTATATTAATTTTTAAATTAAATATTAGGCGGTTATGAATATAAAAAGTATGGGAGTTATGGATATTATTAAAAGTAGAAGTTAAGGTAGTATGAGTTATGAAATGAGAGAAAGGAAGGGGAAGATTAAAAAAATGAGATAAGTTATCATAAACTTACACATTAAATTTTTGGAGGTTATGAATATGAAAGGGATTGGAGTTATTGAGACTATTAAAAGTATAGNCCCTTTCCATGCAAAATGTACCCCTAGAGTAAGAAGAGAAATAGTGGGAGGTGTAATTAAGAACATTTAATTAGAATATTAAAACGGCTTATTCTTAAGAGAAATAGTGGGAGGTGTAATTACGAAGATTTAATTAGAGTATAGAAACGACTTAGTCTTCCTCTAATTGCACCTTGAAAGCATAAAAAAGGCATGAAACTGGGAAAGAATAAGAAAAATTCAGAAAAGGAGAAAATAGATAAATAGGATCTTTGGCCAAAGAGAGCTGCCAAATCATTTTTTATTTTTCCGACTTTATATATATATATATATATATATATATATATATATATAGGCTAAGATTAACTCTATTATATTAGAAAATTTAATTATTTAAACTTAGATCTAAATTTTGGGTCAAACATTCACCACTCCATTTATGACATTACCTTTGAAATCGACAGGAGGGCATCAATTCAATTCCAAATAAGGATAAGGGGACAATCGCCAATATTGGATAGTATAGATAATATCAGTATTTTAAAAGGTGTTTTCGGGGAGAGCCCTTGGGCGAGGCGCACCAAAAATGCCCTGTGGCGATGGTGTGAGGCGAAAGTCTCAAGAGGCGTACGCCCAGCAATTCGGGGCGTACGTCCGAGGCGTTTGAGGCTCGTTTTTGTAGTGAGACGTAAGCCCTAGAGACTTTTTCAAATTAAAACAAATGTTGAAAAAGTCCTTCATATAATACCCAAATTCTCAAAAGTCAGCTTGTAATTACTCAAAAGTTCTAAAAAGGAACTGAAATGTATTAAATTTCAAAGTCATTTTATTGATTGAAACTCTAATTTATGGTCTTTCCCAATTCTTTATCTTGTCCTCTAGCCTGCTAATATTTCCCAAAAGCAACGAATATTTAATTTTTTTTTATAAATACAAAGAGAACTCCATTCTCCTTCATAGCAGCAAGTTCAAAGTTCAAATTGTAAGATAGTCATCCTAATTGTTCCTCCATGTAGAAAACTTATTCTTTTCGACTAAAGTTACTGGTGCTTGTAAGTAGCGTATAATAGATTATCTTGACTAGCTTTTTGTGGGGATGGAGCACTTCTACATATATATATCACATATATATAGTTTTCTTTAATTTTTATGAAATTTTACATGTTTATAAATATTTACTGCAATTATATTATTTTATAAAATTTTAAAAAGTAAATACCAATGGGGTTTACGCCTCGTGCCTCAGGGCTTACGCCTCGCTGAGGCATTTGTAAAATGCCCTGCCTTACGCCCAAGCTTTTTAAAACACTGGATAATATTTGTCCAATATAGATACATTTTATTACCCAGAAAAATAAAAGAAATATATACATTTCATTTTATTACCCAGCAAAATGAAAGAAATATATACATTTCATTACGTGAGAAGGTGGTATCAATTCGGACGAATGGCCACAAAAATAAACCAATAAAGCTTTTGGGGAGAATACTTACTTTTCTGATAAAACTTTTGCCTTTCAAACATAGATGAGGCACTTGTTTTGGGCTCGGGTAACACATACAAATGGTAGCAACAAGTCCACAAGGCCCAATAAGCTCTTCAACTCCGATCAGCCGGGCAAGTGTTGCTCCGATCTCCGAGATCTATCACTGTAGACATTCTGGTAGCCGGAAATTCATAGTTAAAACCAGTAATGATGTCAGTAAGTGGAATGCATAGTTAAAACCCTAACTTCACTCCAGTGGTCGACACTTCACTGTAGCGTTCTTCAATTTTGCTATTTGATTGTGAGAAATGATAGATTTTTGTAGTAGGTAAGCTATTGCTCGAATTTGTGAAGTTCTCACTTTTGGTGATTGAACATGACTTTCATTTCCAAATTGGGACCTCTAATGGAATAAGAGCATTACCTATTCAAAATGACGCACGCTAAGCTATATGTACACATCGCTTCTCAAAGAGCAACCAAACAGATTGCTAGCACGCAAAAGGAAAAAAAACATCTTTCTTTCAATTGTCGAATGGCAAAAACAGAGTATACACAAAAATAAAATCCTAAGTTCTTAACTTTGGATAAAATTATTAAGGATATAGACACACTTAAAGTAGTTAAGTAGTTATAGTGCAGAGGGTAATTATGTAAATTGTGGATTAGTTAGTTTAGGCAGTTTGTACGATGTATTAATACCGTGTACTGTAGCTTTCTTCTTTAATTCAATACAACAGTTCCTTCTTCTTCTCTCAATCTCTCTTCTCTTTGCGACTGAGCTTAGCTCAAGCATTCCCATGGCGATATCCGACATGGTATCAAAGCTAGTGGAGAAGATCTAAACACGCCTCTTCGTCACTCAATTGCAGAAGTTGAAGCTCAGTTGGAAGATAAACGATTTCTCAAAACTATGATTCTCTCTTCGATTCAAAAATGGGGGAAAATAAGATTGACCACACGCATCCTCTATTCGTGCATCCATCTGACACTCCGAGCTCAGTGCTAATTCCGGTTCAGCTCAAAGGATCCGAGAATTCTAGCCTATGGCGAAGATCGATGAAGATTGCACTTCAAGCTAAACGGAAGCTAGGGTTTGTTGGTAAGCACACTAAGGCCTTATTTCCGGAAGCATTGCAGGAGGATTGGGACACTTGTAATGCCATAGTCCTTTCATGGATTATGAACACTGTATCGCCAGATCTACTTAGTGGAATGGTGTATGCATCAAATGCTCGAGCTGTGTGGGAGGATCTTCGTGAGAGATTTGACAAGGTCAATCGCATGAGGATCTATCAGTTTCATAGGGAAATTGCAACAATATCCAAAGGTACCGACTCCGTGTCTACATATTTTACAAAACTGAAGGAACTATGGAGGGAATTTGATGCAATTATGCCGCCTCATAGCTCTGTGAAGGACTATGTTGAGCTCTTGAGTCAACAGAGGTTACTTCAGTTTTTGGGAGGTCTAAATGACTCATATAGTCAGGCAAGACGTCAAATTCTTATGAAATCTACTAAACCTAGTCTAAATCAAGCATATGCCATGGTTATCGAGGATGAGACTCAGAACGGATCGTCAGGGCACAACTCTACAGGACTCAACTCACTAATGGAGGGCAATGACAGTACTGCACTTTGGAGTGCTAAAGGACCTCAGATACAGAAACCTAGGAAGAATTTCAATATAGTGTGTGATTTCTGTAAAATGAAAGGACACAGCAAAGAGAATTGCTATCAATTAATTGGATATCCACCAGATTTCAAGGGCAGAAGAAAGCCAGTGGCTAACTCAGCACATTTTGGTAACTCTCCACAACTAGGGAATCATGGACAGCATCAAGGAATGGGAAATAACTCAGGAAATGGTCACACTGGTTATGGAGCTACACGACCCTTAGGTTCAAATATTGATTACATCAATTCAGGTTATACAGGATCACCAGGTGGTTTTGCAGGTGCAGAGAAAGATGCAGGGCTGAGCATGCAGATGCCAATGCCATTCACTCCAGAACAGTACGACCAAATTCTGAAGATGCTATAAAAGGACAGTACACCTGAATCAACAGCTAATGCAGCAGGTATAACTGGCCCTCCAGTGCTTGCAAATGCAGTTAATATAACTCATTATGCTGATAGTAAAGCAAATGATGATAAGTGGATAGTAGATACAGGGGCAACAAATCACATGGTGTCAAACAGTGAAATAATCTCTAAGCCTAAAGAATAGTCTAAAACTATAGGAGGAAAAGTTCATTTGCCAAATGGAGATAGCTTGGCCATTTCTTGTGTAGGAAGATTGGAATTAGATCAAGGGATTATATCCACTGTGCTCTACATACCAGGCTTTAAATACAATTTACTGTCAGTATCAAAACTGACTAGGGAGCTAAACTGTTGTATGTTATTCTTTCCTGACTTTTGCCTCATGCAGGACCTTCACACTGGGAAGGTAAAGGGGACTGGTAGGCTGAAAGGAGATCTATACTATTGGCCTCACAGTGATAGAGATAGGATTCAAGCCTCAGCAGCATTGTGTGTGACCAATGAAGAAGAGCTATGGCATAGAAGACTTGGGCACATTCCACATAAGGTTCTACAGCAGATGCATATAATAAAACATAATAGGTTGCATAGTAATAATGTCTGTCCTATTTGTCCCTTGGCAAAACAGACAAGGTTTCCTTTTCCACAAAGTACTAGTAGAGGTTCTAAAATATATGATTTGATACATTCTGATGTATGGGGTCCCTATAGAACCTCTACCTATGATGGGAATAGATTTTTTCTCACTTTAATAGATGACTATAGTAGAATGGTTTGGATATTTCTGCTCAAGCTTAAAAGTGATGTACCTACTGTAATAAAAAACTTCATGACTCTTGTGAAGACTCGGTTTAATAGTGCAATAAAGGTATTCAGGACAGACAATGGAACAGAGTTCTTTAATTCACATTGTGCAGATATGTTTAGGAATGCAGGTGTGGTTCATCAAAGTTCATGTGTCTACACACCCCAGCAGAATGGAGTGGTAGAAAGGAAACACGGGCAGATTCTTGAGGTTGCTAGAGCCATCAAGTTTCAGGGAAGCATTCCACTAAAATTCTGGGGATTTTGTGTGCAGAATGCAGTATATTTGATCAATAGAATTCCATCCACAACATTAGCAGGAAAATCACCTTTTAAAATGTTCTATGGTCGACCACTTAAGCTGCAACATCTCAGAATTCTAGGAAGCCTCAGCTATGCTACTACCACTGATAAAGGTGACAAATTTGGAGCTAGAGCAGAACCAGCAGTGCATATGGGATATTCATCCACTCAAAAGGGTTATAGGCTATATAGTCTCACTAACAAACATTTTTTTGTAAGGAGTGATGTATCTTTCAAGGAGTACATTTTTCCATTCAAAACCACATCTTCCAGATGCAGCAGGACTACTGCTGAGCAGTTTATTGATACAGATGATGCCTTCATCATTGATCCTATCTCTGAGGTCTCATAGGTTGCTCTTGATTAAGTAGTAGCAGCCCCACCTTCTCCTGAGGCTTCCTCAGCTCCTACTCCTGCTGCTCCTGCTGCTCCATCTTCTCAAGACCTGGCACAGCCTCACCTTACATCACCTCCTGCAGCAGTGATGTGATAAGTGGGGATTTTAACCATTATTTACTCTCTTTTTACTTGTGTTTTGGGCTTGAAATACGTAAAGGTATTCCCGAAAACTAACATAATATGCTTGCTTGCAGGGATTGTTCATAATGAGCTAAAGTAGCCATGATCAACTCATAAATGAGTCAAAACATGAATAAAGACAAAGACTGGGCCAAGAATGTAGAACGCGGACCGTTACAGAAAAGTGCGGCCGCAAAAGTGTCACCGCGGATGCGGTCATGAATTCGCGAACCGCGAGAGGGAGCATCAGAGAGGTAGTTTTTTGGGCAGACATAAGCGCGGACTGCGCCAGAAGACGGCGGACGCGAAAGTACCAGCGCGGCCACGGTTGGAATTCCGCGGACAGCGTGTGCTAAGGTTCAGAGACTTTGCAAGTCATGCAAAAATGAAGAAAGTGGGATTTTTGCTGAGCACGTGAGACAGCTAGTTTTACCTATTTGGGCAATTTTGTACAAGATTTACCTTATAACTTCAGATTTTCATCTTTTAATTTAGTATTATGGATTTTATCTTCTCTTTATCTTTGATTTCTGCTATTTTCATGAGTAGCTAAACCCATATCTAGGGTTGTGACCCAACCCTAGTGTGGGTATTTAATGGGTCTTAAATTTTAGGGCTTGAATGTGTATGGGTTAGTAGTATTTAGCCTTGTTCTTGCTAGAACTAAGAAATTGGTGGTTGCAAACACTGATTCATGCCTTTTATGACTTAGTCTCTACTTGAGAAAGTGGGACTAAGTCTAGGAAAATCAGGCTAACAAGGAAATGGTGAACTCAAGAAATTGATAGCCCCAACTAAAGGGTTAAATCTAGAGATAGTAATACCCGACTTGAGCTAAAATCACTTGAATTGCATGAATACCCAATTGGACTTGAGAAAGCCAAATTGGGCAAAATCACTCAAACTACCGAGAGGTATAGAGTGAGTACTCGAGTATGATAGCTGTACTACGACCCCGATTAATCACATGATTGCCCTAGATTCTTGCTACCCGTTAGATATCCACCTAGGCGGAAATCACTACCCTATTCCCTTTAAATCTTTGAAAACAACCAACAAAAATATTGTACTTAGTTTCAAATACTTCATGTTATAGAATAGAAGTAGAATAGAAAACAACCAACCATTTGTGGAAGTACAATTAAGAGCAAAACCCGCATCTCTACTCGGGTATAAACCTAACTCCAAAATAATTAACTCCTTGTGAATTCGATCCCGACCTTTGTTGTTTAAAACTGCATCGACCATCCTTGCTACTCTATAGTAGTGCAGGTTTGGAACCGATCATGATGCCACATCCAACTATGGCTTCTTTGCATGATTTGCTAGAAGAGGGACTAAGGAAGTCTACTAGGACTTCCAAGCCACCTGATTGGCTCAATGATTTTGTTCATGGAATGCCAAAAGCTGGTCTTTCTACTGCCTTGAGTTCCAGTTATCCCATGCCTGCTTACATGTCCTATGCCTCATTATCTTCACCTTACTTCAAGGCTCTTTGTTCTTTCTCTGCTGTTACAGAACCAACTTCGCTGATGCCATTCGAGATCCCAAGTGGATTGCAGCCATGGATGCAGAGTTACAAGCCTTACAGGACAACACTTGGGAGTTAGTTTCCTTGCCACCTGACAAGAGAGTTATACGGTGTAAATGGGTGTTTATGGTGAAATATAATGCCAAAGGTGAGGTGGAAAGGTATAAAGCTCGCTTAGTGGCCAAAGGTTACACACAACAAGAGGGTCTTGATTATCAAGAGACCTTCTCCCCTGTGGTGAAAATAGTCACAGTAAGGACTGTTTTGTCCTTAGCAGCTATGCATGGATGGAAGTTGCATCAGATGGACGTCTTTAATGCTTTTCTTCAAGGTGATTTGCTGGAAGAAGTGTATATGACTCCACCTCCTGGTCTTCTAGGTGAGGGGGAGCCTCCTAGAGTTTACAAGCTTCAGAAGTCCTTGTATGGGCTCAAGCAGGCATCTAGGCAATGGAACTTGAAGCTCAGTGAGGCCCTCGCTTCCTCAGGCTTTGTGCAGAGCCATCATGATTATTCCCTCTTCAGTAAGAGGTCAAGTTCTGGTTTGGTTATCATCCTTATCTATGTGGATGATCTCTTGATCACTGGCTCATCTTCAAGATCAAGGACCTGGGGGAGATGAGATACTTCCTTGGTCTTGAAGTTGCAAGGCGAAGACATGGCATTTTGGTTTGTCAAAGGAAGTTCACACTTGATCTCATTGCCACACTTGGGCTTGCAGGTTTTAAACCAACATGCACACCTCTAGACACAAGCCATAAGCTCACCAGCGCAGAGTATGATCAAGCCAATGCTCATGGATCTGTGGATGCTGATGAGTTACTTAGTGATCCAAGCAACTATCAAAAATTAGTTGGGAAGCTGTTGTATCTTACCATGACAAGGGCAGACATCAGCTATGCTGTAGAAAATTTAAGCCAGTTCATGCACAAGCCAAAGAAGTCACATTTGGAAGGAGCAATGAGAGTGGTAAGGTACCTAAAGAATGCACTAGGGCTGAAGATTCTGCTATCATCTCAGTCTTCTGACCAGCTCATAGTGTATTGTGATGCAGATTGGGCCACTTGCCCAATGACTAGAAGATTAGTGAGGTGGGTTTGTGAAAAAACTAGGAGACTCTCTTATCTCATGGAAGTCCAAAAACAAAATAAAGTGTCAAGGAGCTCTGCAGAAGCTGAGTATAGAAGTATGGCCAATGCTATAGCAGAAGTAGTCTGGTTAACAGGGTTGTTTAAGGAATTGAATGTTGACTTGAAACTTCCAGTGAGCTATATTGTGACAGTAAAACGGCTATTCAGATTGATGCAAATCCCATCTACCATGAAAGAACCAAAAATATCGAGATCGACTGCTATTTTGTTCAAGAAAAGATTCAGTATGGCCTAATATAGACTGCACATGTTTCTACAAACCTGCATATTGCAGATGTACTAACAAAAGGATTAGGGAAGGCACAACATGATTTCTTACTATCCAAGATGGGAGTATACAACTTGTTCACACTACACAGCTTGAGGGGGAGTATTAAGGATATAGACACACTTAAAGTAGTTAAGTAGTTATAGTGTAGAGGGTAATTATGTAAATTATGGATTAGTTAGTTTAGGCAATTAGTACAGTGTATTAATACCGTGTATTGTAGCTTTCTTCTTTAATTCAATACAACAGTTCCTTCTTCTTCTCTCAATCTCTCTTCTCTCTGCGACTGAGCTTAGCTCAAGCATTCCCATGGCGATCTCCAAATCCATAAAAGAGTAATCCAAAAGAGATGAAACCAGTGATCATAAACCCGAGCCAGGATTTAAAATTTATGGGTTCAATATTTTATTTCTTTTCAGTTACTGTCCTCTAAATTAATAATTTGTGTATAACTGAATAAATTTTTAAAACAAATACGAAGTTTGGATAAAAATTACTAGGTTCAGCCGAACCCCTATCCGAAGGGCTAGCTCCGCCCTGATCATAAAGAGGATGTCGTACAAGCTCCTTTCTTATAAGTAGCAACTCTTTAAGAAAATAATTGGAGCCTATTCTATATAAAATAGAAGAATTAACTCAAATAGCCGTCCAGCTAATCGGTTAAACTTAAAATAGCCAGTAGAGGTATAATATATGCATTATTAATGATTATATATGCATAATCGTGTATAATTAATGTATAATCTATATATATGGCTAAAAAAGTAAATAATGAATATGACCGACTATTTATGTAGAGATACACTCATGTTTGACTTACTCACCCTAAATTCTAGATTACTTCTTATGGTGAATTTACTAATGGGCTTGGAGAAATACTGCTGGGAAGTTGATCAAAATGGAAGTTTTTACTTGGCAAGGTTGGTAGTGGGATAGGTTGTTTTAGCCTTCTTTTTCCTGGTCATTACTAAATGAGTGGTTTGCTGTTGAGCAATCACCATCTCTCTACCATCTTGCATCTGCAACTGAATGGAGGACCTTAAGTTTTTGAGGAAAATACTACTTTGCCGTGTCGCAAACCAGAAAATAAATTCAGAAAATTTCGAACTTATCCCTGTATATCATTTAATGCCTTCTTCGTTTAGAGGTCAAGCTATGACTAATCAACGTTGTGAAAAATATTGGTTGTTTTCGATTATCTAGGACTGGTCTCTGAAGTCACAAATCTGGTCGTTTGCTTCATTGATTATCCTCGTTTTTTCCCTAGGATTTATAAAGTCTAATTATTTGCCTTGTGTTTCTTTCTGCTTTTTTATCATGGCTTTTTTTCTTTTCTTTTTTCTATTATTTCCCACGTTTCATTTTATGTGTGGTAATGTTTAACAGGACATGAAATTTGAAAAAAGAAATGAAATATGTCGTCACATTTAATTGATTATAAAAATTATCATTATAAACTGAAAAGTTTAAATTAAAATGTTTACAAATTAGAAATGAGTTGTCCTTCTTTTAACCGCTTAAAAGAATATATGATCACATAAACTCACTAGAGAATTCCATTCGACTCTTTTTTGCTCTACACGCGCACGCGCACGCATACATCTTTTAGTTAAAAGAGGCTTTTTATATCATTCAAAAGTGGAATAGGGAATTATATCTAACCTTAAAAGGTTAGGAAGTTTAACTGAATTTTACTCTTTAGGCTAGGAAATTAATTAAGAATGAATTGAGTTTTGATTAACGCTTCTCATGTACAGGAACACAAAAAATGGGGTGACAAATTTAACAAATCTTCAAGCAAGAGAATCGGTTAAGTCATTAAGTGCAGCTAAAAAGTGGTCAAATTTGATAGATGCTTCCCATTTGTGAGTGAACGACTCTTTCCATGAATTATGAATTAAAGATATGATGGCTATACAAGAAAAAAGAGCACCGAGTGATTTCTGGTTTGGTTCTTTTAATAATTGCATTTTAGTGGGGAACCTACTCATTTTTTGAACAGTCATTACCACTATCATGAAATCGATTCGAAGTGCATGAATTTCAATTTTTGATGTATGGTTTCCAATGCTTTTCCTTTTGACTTTGCTAAAAATATTTGGCTTATCAATACTTACAAGATTTATTGTCACTATAGATGATGTAAGAATTAATAAATTAATAGTACATTCGATAGCTCTGAAATACTAGTACTTCATCAATAATTGGTTAAAATGTTACTAACAACATATTACGGAGCTACGTAAAAATTCGATATCTGAAGATGGTTTGGTATAACATAAGTTATTTTTCAATTTTTATTTTTATTTTTAGGAGAAGTCATTTTTCAATACTTGGTTATGATTACTAGAAAATGAGAAAAAAAGAGTTGCCTCTTATATAGAAGTCATTTTCTTTACAACTATTCTAACTTCTAATTGTTAGGTGTTAGTCCTAATTTTTCTCCATATTTGGTTTTCCTATCTTACAAATTTATCATAATTGGTGTTTCCTTTTTAGAAGAAAATTATAAATCTCATATTTAGCTAGTACCTTAATTTTCTTGTAGGAAAAAGTTTGGACTTCTAGAAATTGAGGATCATTCCTTCTCATTCAATAGCATCCACAATGTAGCCATATGGGGTTTGAAAGTTGTGTTTAGGAGGAGAACTTTACGGGACAAGTGTTAGTGTGCCACTTGTGTTTGCCTCTTCGTGAGGTTGTTCTCTCAATATTTTGTACTCTCTTTTTGGATTGCTCATCTTCGCCGTGGACGTAGGTCAATTGACTGAACCACGTTAAATGTTTGTGTCTCTTTTGGTAGATTTCTCTTTTGTTGTCTGATTTATCGTCGTTCAAGCTTTGCTTTACTAGCTTCCGCATGACACCTGATTATTTTGATCGTAACGCTAAGTTCATATCTTGCTCAACTAACACTTAGACATTATTACTTAATCTTACTCAAAGTTTCATAAACATACTCTCTAATTTGCATGGTCAGCATTCCCCTCCTACGGTTCCAGGGTCGTGGGTTCGAGTCACTAAAGGAACATCAATAGCTCCAATAAAGGGGGATCAAAGGGGAGGGGAATAAAAAAAAATTGCTAATATCATCATTAAGAATAATATTATATATATTTTCAAAGAATATTTTTCTCTTACCAACCAAATATCAAAAAATAGTTACAAGAAAATAATAATTATTACAAAAAATCCTTTGTTGAAAATGACTTTCATCATACAAAGACACTCTAGAATTCTGCATCCATTAATTAGTTATATCAGGTTTATATATAAACCAAGACGGTTCGGCCATATGTTATAATATGTTTCATCTTTGACTTGGATGGTTGTGGGAAATTTGTAGTCTACAAATAGTGGAACATTATTAATAAGGCTGCTAAGATGTTACAATATTTTTTTTGCCTCAGTCTTTATTAGTAGGCAATCTTTGTGGGGTATGACTGGCCAACTCTCATTATTATAATTTATAGTCATGGCTATGCATGCTAAAATATATAGGATAAAATTCATTACCTAGATATATAAGTGGGTAGATGCATCTCAATCAGAATGAATTTTTTTGTTCACAACAGCCAATAACTATCTAAAAAGATAGGTTAGTGAAATTCTCACCTTTTGGTTTAAATATAGTAATTACTTCTGCAGGTATCTCTGAGCAAAGGATGCTTCTTATGGAGCAGCTTTTATATGGAAAAAAGGCACAATGTGGATTATTCCATGTAATTTATGGCATCATAGCATAGCTCATAATTATGGAAATCTATATAAGCAAATCCTACATTTTCATTTAGTCGAAACAAATCAAAAGACAAAAACAGACATTTCTCACAGCTCAAACTCAATATTATGCTCTCGTCCATCAGAAAGAAAACTCTAAATATAGCAATAAGCTTTTTATCCTCTTGTTTCCTCAATAAAATTCTAAATGATAATTTCAGTTCTGTAAATAGAATTTCCAGATAAACTCTTATTAACTCAACAGGCAAAAATTGCAACAACAAGCTATAAAACCAAAATAAAAAATTGTACCTAAATCAGGCAAAATAATCCGTTGCAGATGGGCCTTAGAATACCAAGTCATAATGCCAGCACAGAGCACTTTATTTGTGAACATACATATATAAATGCCAATTGATTTAGAAATTATAATATATAATAATAATGGTAGATACAAAATGGGTAATAAATATTTCAGAGGAGTGGCATAGGCGGTTTATTTTTAGATGTGGTACGTAATTAGTGATGCTAACCTTTCTCCATTTTGCTGTCCTGTTTGTTGGAACAGTTTGTTCAAATTAATGACCGCATAAATTTTCCCATAAGAAATTAAATAGCTTAATCTTTGTTGTGTGGACTCTGGACCATCTTACATCTCTATCAGTTTCTATTGTTCTTTTCTTAAAATTATAGAACTCTATTAAAAATTTAGTTTTGACTATCATAAAATTCCAATAATTGACTGTCAAAATTAATTATGCTTTGAAAGAGAACACAACTTTAATTGTTTGTATTTTGTCTGTTTGCAAACTTCTAGTGTTTGCTGGCGGGTTAGGTTCCTTGCTTACGTTGCGGTATCCCCAAAATATTGTCATTAAATGATTAAATCTAATTGCAGATGCTACTGAGAGGTGTCGACAATTGAAAAGTAAATAAATAAATAAATAGATAATTTAAAATAACAATTGATGTTATTTTTATATTTTTATTTTGCTTAATATTTATATATACATATTTAATTAGTATTGAGAAATTTCGATGAAACGGTGTTTTGGAACAAGATATATCGCCCCATGCCTTAGTTGGAGTTGTGACATATACATCTCGCTAAATAGTTTTTTTTGTAACTCATTATCTGTAATAGATATTGAACCCCTTGGAACAAAATGAGAATATGATATATATATATATATATATATATATATATATATATATATATATATATATTGTAATAGATATTGAACCCC